TCACATCTTCTTTATCCAGTCATCCGTTGATGGACATTTAAGCTGTTTCTGTGTCTTGGCTATTGTAAATAGTACTGCTATGAACATTGGGGTGCAGGTGTCATCCTGAAGAAGCGTTCCTTCCGGATATAAGCCCAGGAGAGGGATTCCTGGGTCATACGGTAAGTCTATTCCTAGTCTTTTGAGGAATCTCCATACTGTTTTCCATAGTGGCTGCACCAAGACTGGTGATCTTATAAAAGGAAAATGTGGAGATAGACATGCACACAGGGGCAACACTATGTAAACATGAAGGCAGAGATCTAGGCGATGCTTTTACCCATCAAGGAACATGAAAGATGGCCAGCAAACCATCAGAAGCTAGGAGAGAAGCGTGGAACAGAGCCTCACAGCCCTCAGAAGAAATCAACTCTGCACACATCTAATTTCACACTTTCAGCCTCCAGATAATAAATTTCTGTCGTTTAAGCCACTCAGTTTGCAGTACGTTGTTATGGCAGCCTAACAAATTAATATACCTGTAAACTGGATGGTAGAGGTCTTAGAGGCGCGACTAGATTCAGGTTAAACATTTTTTGGCATGAATACTACACAGGGGACGCTGTGCCCTTCATATTGTATCACACCACATTACACCACTGAGCCTCAGGCTATCTCACTGTAAATGGTGTTAAGTGTGATCACGGGGTTAAGGTCATGACTGCCAAGCTAAGTTTTGCTCTTTGCAATTAAAAAAGTAACTTGAGCGGTGATACTTAGGCACCACATAAGTATACTGCCTCCATCAATCCGTCACCCAATTGTTTGAACATTCCTTGATAAGCCTTGACTGAATGGGTTATATTCTTGGAAGATGGCAAAATGGTGCTTTTGTAAAAATCCATTTGCAATTGTTAGCTGCCATTCTTCTGTAAAAAAGGATCAAATGGAGACATACTTAAGTTTTTCCTTAAAAGTCAGGGTAAACACTTAACTCTTTCCCTTAGTTGACAATTTTCAGAATAAAGTGTTGATACAATAGTCATCACCAGTCACTAATGAGTTTTTTCTCTCATTTGATTACCATGATGGACTCATGATACTCATGGCTTTAATTTATTCAATCATAAGACAGTCATTATTCTTCTTGATGCTCAATTGTCCAAAATTTGAGAGCTCCTTAAACTGGCTCCTTTGTCCTTTTGACACAACCCCACTGGTCTTTTAATGCCTTCTTAATTTCTGGCATACGAACAGCCTCACCTTATATATTGCCTGTACCAAACCAGGAATAAGCCATTTCTCCAAGAAGCAATGTTTCCTTTTATTAGAGAATGGTATTTAGAAACCAAGATCTGGTTTCAATGTAAGCTTATTGCTACCGAGATATCACTGCTTCAAGACCAGAGCAGCGAACAGCACTATGAAACAGAAGGGCCAGCTTTATGGGCAAGCTACCAGTACAGTCACACAGACACTCATGCCCAGAAGGGCCTTGTGTTTGGAATTCCAAGTTCTGTAACCCATGTCTTGAAATTATTTGCAATTTTATCTTTGTATTTGGTCAATGGAGTCCAGTGTGATAATGGAGCATGAACCAGGGACTTGGAGCCTCTGTTCATGCTTGGCTCCCCAGGACAGGTTCCCAGGGGGCTGCTCCCACACCTCCTAGTGCCCTGGGTCCTGCCCAGTCTCCCCTTGTCCAACCTTTCCCAGCAACCACTGTTGCCCTCTGTCCCCAATGAGAGCCAGGGTGTGAGTGTAGGGAAGGTCAGATTGAATGCATTTGCCCCACAACATTTTGGGACAAGGCATGGTGGTGGTGTCCCCACTCCAGTTGGCAGTGCCACAGCACATTCAGCAGGTGACGGGGCAAGGATAGCCTCTTAGCCACCACCAATTCAGATCCCTAGTGTATCCCAGCCCTAAGGTTCCAATATGTTTGTAGGGCCCCCATTAGCTATTGGGTTGGGGCAGCAGGCCCACGGGAAAGGGAAATGTCTGGCTTGACTTCCCTGCCCCTGGCCCAGGGTGCACAGCACATCCCATTAGTCAGACCCCGTTGTCACAAGGCAGGGACCCTGGGGGCCTGGGAGCACCTGCACTTGCCTCCTGAGTATCTCTTGCAAAGGGAGTACCCTGGGCCTAGGGAGATCTTTTCTTCCTTCCCACTTCCCAAATCTGGTTTGTGTTAGTCTCTCCTGGCCAACTCAAGACAGTCTCCAGGACAAGTCGCAAAATACAAATTGTGAAATTTCAGCTATTCCACACGTGAATCAAATGCTCTTACTCTTGCTTTTAAAGCTGCCATTGTACAATATAAAGATGAAGGGTAAAATTCATGCTTACGGTTTTTATTTTTCTTTCCCTAGAACAACATTAAGTAGCAAATAGAAAAAAAAACTCATGACAAGTTGAGTGAGGGAGAGACTGTGGAAGGAAGGAAAAGGCTTTATGTTTTAGTACTTTTAATGGCACTTTATCCTGCTTTTTGAACAAGCAGCCCCGCATTTTCATTTTGCACTGGGCCACACAAGTTATGTCACTGGTCTTGTAAAATACATATACATTTCAT